GTATTTGTTGTCCATTTATTTCAGTGTTTGTCATTGTATATAAGTAGTTGTGACTTTATCTAACTTATTGTCACTTTCTGTAAATAGTTGTCACTTTGTGTCTGTGGTTGTCATTTTTATATCATTTGTTGTCACTTTATGTAAGTAGCTATCACTTTATGTCAGTAGTTGTGATTGTATTCCAGTTGTCACTTATTTCATTGGTTGTCACTTATTCCATTGGTTGTCACTTTATGTCAGTGGTTGTCACTTTATGTCAATGGTTGTCGCATTATGTCAGTTTTCACTTATTTCATTGGTTGTCACGTGATGTCAGTGGTTGTCACTTAATGTCAGTGGTTGTCACTATGTTAGTTGTTGTCACTTTATATCAATGTTGCCCCTTATATCATTGCTTGTCACTTTATATCAGTAGTTGTCACTTTGTCACTGTTGTCACTAATTTAATTTGGTTGTCACTTGATGTCAGAAGTTTTCACTTTGTGTCAGTGGTTGTCATTTTATGTCATTTACTGTTACTTATTTCATCGGTTGCCACTTCATGTCAATGGTTTTCACTTTGTCATTAGTTGTCATTTTTGTCGTCAATGATTGTCACTTTATGTCAGTGGTTGTCACTTAATGTCAGTAGTTCTACTTAATGTCTGTAGTTGTCAATTTATGTCAGTGGTTGTCTCTTTATATCAGCACTTGTTGCTGTTTGTCACTCTTGTCCTTACCTCTTGTAAGAGTAAAAAATAACCACTTCCTTTAACAGTATTAATCACTTACTGTCATATTTATAATTACTTACACTGTTAAAGGTACTTACTGTTACAATATAGATAACATTATATCCAAGTTATGGCCACTTCTTGCTGACTGGTGATACCTTCTTGTCAAAGTGGTGCTCAATTCCTGTCACAGTGAATTCAACTTTGATGACATGATACCCTAAATTTACGCCATTACTGATATTCTGCATTTGAATCTTGATTTGTCCAGAGCACACCAAAAATATACACTTAAACATTATACTTACTGTAGTAAGCCATATTAATTGATATTTGACCATTACAAGATTAGAATTCCAAATCATGAAATAGTATTGAAACATATGCAATGAATCCCAATTGTACAGAAGGACTGTAGGGACATTTTTAGTTACCACTTATTTATTATTACTTATTTGTTATTCCTTATTTGTTATTATTTAGTTGTTATACCTTATTTGTTATTTGATAATTACGACAAAACGTGGTAAGGCTGTCCGGCAAACTGGACGGCTTTTACGGAAGTCCTAGATGGACATTTTTACTACACTCTATGTCAATGGNTACCAAATCTATTTCACGAATGTGGCTAATATTGTGATACCTTTCACTTGTATTGAACACTGCAATGGACCATACTATACCATGCTTCAATATGTTTAAATAAGGAGCGTTTATTAACTAACACATACATGTATATATACATGTACATGCATTGATGGTCTTAAAAAATATTCTCTTAAAAACATATTTATAAAAGTTAAGTTCTCGATAAACAGTATTTTGTTATACATAGTTTATGTAAACAAATTATGTTAGAGTTATTATTCAAAAATATTATGTCATCCATTAGTACATGAAAGTGTATCAATACCAGCTCTTTTACAGCAGCTGCTGGTGTGAGGGAACACACAGTATGTCCATAGATAGGGTTGTTTATAAAGCAAAGTATCATATATCAAACTTACACTAAGGATACGTTTTCTTTCTAAAAGTTACAATCTCGCATATCAATCAATCAATCACATCTCTAGTATTACCTTATGTATACATGTATATGCTATCACATGATATTATTTCGGAATGTCACATTTTGACTAATTTAAGCATATATTTTAGTACCTGTGATGAAGATATGAATTATAAACATTGACCGTTTTTAATATATAAAATGACGAGTAAATTATAAATTCCTTTTTGTTGCTATATTTTTATGGTTAATTAACATTTTTCTTGTCTCGATTTTTCATCAAAAGTCAATGAAATATGATTCATGCAGCCAGTTTTAAAGCGACATCGTTGTTAAAATTCACATCATAAGTAAAACAGAATTATCATATTATCGTAATAGCAAAATTTAATGCTACAAATTAGAGAATTATTTAATTCTCTATAAAAGTCCGTAGTGCAACATTGAAATGAAAGTTGATATGAATTTAGATATTTCAAAACTGTGCTTTGATACTTTTGGCTTTAAAATCAAACAGACGATTACAAAGTGCACTTGATACCAAGTTACGTTTGTTCTCATATGTATCGATTGTTTTGTGTAGCAGTCGATATAAAAAATAAAAATAGTCTTGGATGCTGAACAGTCAACATCTCAACAAGCTTTCTGATAATTTGATGAAATGCCTGGAAATATGTTATGCCTTTAACCTTAACTAAAGCGAAATCATAAATTGTTTCGTAACTCTCTGATCGCTTCCAAATGAAGGATTTCTCCCTCTTAAATCAATCTTAATACATGTATATGGTTTCATGTAGGGAAGGTGGTTTCTATGATCTGGTCGAAGACTGAAATGAATAAACCTTTATGGAGTATTTCTTTTATACTGCTGCAAGTTAGCCCCTAGTCCTTCAAACGTTATCACAGTAATTTGGGTCTGTTATATATAGAGTATAGCGGAATGCTCTGACGGTCGAACCTTGGCATTTGAAAAAAAACTGAAAGTTAATATTTGGTGATTGGGAGGTCGGCAGGCTTTCATCAGCCCAAGCTGTCTTTTGATACTGTTTGCATTTGTCTAAATTTTGAATAAGCTTATTTTGATAGTGACGAAACCAACACCATCAGCCACATGGTAATGAAACCAGAGATATTAAAGTGGATTTTTGCTGGCGTAAAGCAAATACACCTCACAGAGGATTTTAATCCAAATTTTATCATCAGAACAATTATTTCATATATATAAAGTCAAACGGTTTCTCTTGGATATTTGCATTGAATTTAGGAAATGTCAATGAAAAAAATGACACATATGTATATTAAGTACCTGTTTACTATAGGCTTACGTAACTGATTTATTGGGGATCTCCTGCCATTTTGATATCAATTAAAGATACAGTCACATCATTATCGTTTGGTCATTTTTTTTTTCGGTTTTTAGAAAACAAATTAAAATTAACCTAGACTGTTGTAAACAATGAGTTGTAGAAGAACCATACAATTTCGATCGTAGTTTGCTGTTATGAATGATCATAACACTCAATATCACAAAGATCAAATAAGTTCAGAATAGATGGACATGTAAGAGGAAATAACCTTTAGGCTATTGATTCACACCACGTCCTCAAAAATCATTTTGCAGAATCATGATACGAGTTATCTTGACAAAAGCTAACGGGGTCTAATTGCTTAAAACTTCTAAATATTTGTAAACAACTATTAGATTCAGTCATGCAGCATTGTGGATGATTAGACCGAGGGACCAAGTGAGCTTATGCCGTTGAGCAGCGCCTGTCAACTTTCCCCTTTAAAACGCTACTAGTCCTTAACGGCTCTGTTAACTTTTACCAAATTCGGTCTAGAGCATACTTGGCCAAAGGGTTTTCAATTTTGTATAAAGGACAATGTGCCGGTGGCCCCCTGTTGCCCCCTGGGAGCAGAGGGTTAGGGACTAATACGGAAAATAGAGGTAAATCTTACACAGAATCCTTTTCATCCCTTACCAATGGAGGGTTTTTACCAAAACATTTTCTGGAATATCTTCGGAGCAAAGGCTCTCAACTGTGTATAAGCGAATGGTGTGCTCTAGAGACATAGGGGCGAGGCCAAAGGGAGAAAATGGAGTGTGTGGACTCCCTAGGAGTAGAGGGACAGGACCCAATAGGGGAAATAGAAGTAAATCTTTTGAAAGCTTTCTCCTGTATGAATGGAAGGATTACGACCAAATTAGTTCTAGAGCATAATTTGGCAAGTTGGCCTCAACTTTATATAAATGAAGTGTGTCACCCCCAGGGGGCAGAGGGGTGGGGTTCAATAGGGGAAAAAGATAGATAAATTAAATCGTTCCTTCCGTATGTATTTAAGAGTTTTATCCTCATCCTTTTACCAAATATGCAATTGCTAGGCACGAAGAGAAGAATACATCCATGCTACCAGGATTAGTTCGGATATCCAGACCCACGCTTGGGTCATAACAGTGGAAACAGTTGAGATCCTGAGACCATAGCCATGTACAAAAGTTGTTGACATAAAGAACACATTCATGTTCTTGATGTCTTACCGGCGAATTAAAAGGTTCTTATTACAGATTGTATTTCTTCCTTGATGACCTGGTATAGTACTCCGAAGGTTTTGTGTCGAAAACAAAATATTAGGTGAGCTATTAAGGCCCCTGGACTTCTTGTTGAAGTATAATTTCGTATTACTTTAAATCCAATTCACATAAAGTTCTCATCAATGCTAGTAAAAATATAACAGTAGTATATCAATCTTTTCTTATGCGGTTGAGAAACAAAATCTGTTTGGCACAGTGGCCATTTTCAAGCTCAAATATTTCAGATATGTTTAAAATGTTTTTGCTCGTTCTACATTATAACTGGCATGTAGTATGTTGGGGTGAATACTTTTTTGTGCAGGTGAATTACCTTACAAGGCCAAATGTGTTAAAATTTGTACAAAGATATATGCTGAATTATGATCTGTTATATCACGTCTGGTATTAGCTGATTTCAGAAATACTGTTTTTAGCTAGTATGTCATAATGGTTATAATATTGCGATAAACGTTTGTATTAAGATGCCTCCATAGATAAAAGTGATTATAAGATATTTTATTGTCTGAACATAATGATATGCTATTGAATAAATACTGATTAGATAATGTTGAGTGCTTGAATATATATACTAAAGAAGAATTGAAAATAACGTTTATTGACTGAAAATGTTTGAATGTTGACATATCTGTTTATTTAATGCATATGCATATTTGTTTATGTTTATTTTCTGTATGAATGCATTCATTTTAGCTTACCTTTTATTATTTTCTTTCCAACAATCAGTGTGTGCGTCAAAGGAAACCTGCAAAAACATGGCAATGTAAAGATCGGGGTGTAAACGATGCAGAAGGGCAATGCCCAAAATCCAATGAAAGAGTATCGATCAAAGGTAAGTACTGCTCGTTGGTGATTCCATGTATGAACGAAGAATCAGTGGGGAAATACACCTGAAAATTTCCCGGATATTCAGACAAAGAAACAAGCGATATCATCACACTGAGTAAGAATAAATCATTTAATAACTATTGGTGGACTTAATTTGTTTATTTCCGGGTAATTATAACCTTTAAGTTCGAAAAGAAAATATGAAGAGTATATAAGTACTAGTCTGCAATATGTTTGTCAAAATTTATTTTATTCAATTAACAATCCACTGATATAAGAAAATCAGTATACCGAAATATAAGCATTTGGTTATTTCTGTGGAATTATTCGGAAAAACAATATAATTTTCACTTCATAATAGCTCTTTTGACAACTAAAGAAAACCAATGTAACATATGTTTATTAGTTCTTTTATATCCCGTTATTTATCTATTAGCATGACAAGTAAACCGAACGTTTCAATATATTTATTTATTACGCAAAATACATTTTTGGGTTACCAGGAATTATATTACTGATCGATTTCGAGAAGGCATTCGATTCGGTGTCCTGGCAATTTATGTATAGTGTTGTTTTTTTTAATTTTGATCCTGAATTTATTAAATAGATAAGTGTTTGCTTAACGACGCTAAATTCCATCTGCAGAAATGGTGCATTCATATGTATGAAGCTACATATAACAGTAGAAATTAACTATAACACATGATAAAGCATATTTAGGCCTGCTCAAAAGCTGAAGTTTAAAAAAGTAATACAAATATACCAAAAGTCTGGAAAGTGAATTTACCGAGAGCCAAAGAGATGAAGGGTTCAAACATGGCCCCCTAAAAGTCAGTAGTCAGAAACCTCTCAACTAATTTGATGGTACTTCTCGACGTATGGATATATCTTTGATAGCAGTCAGATGAGTATCGTTCAAATGTCTTAATAAGATGATCCTCTTTTTGCGAATTTGCTGCTGAAGGAGCAGCACCAATGCGGAACGAATGACCACTGTTTACGCCATCATCTAAACCGAATCTGGAAATAACTGTTCGCAAAGAAGGAATAAACAGAGTGCGCAATAAAGGCGATCCAGAGTATGTCACAAAGAACGGATCGAGATCATGTACTGTGCATCTCTTAATAGCTGTCGTGGTCCAGAGGGACAAATAGCGCTTCAAGGTTGTATACAGATATACAGGAACTATAGAGCACTAAAGATATACCCTTCCTAAAAGGGTCACATTTAGAAACCTTTAGGGTTATATGGATACATTGTTGTACAAGGTCGATGTCCACATCCTCCATACATAGGTGACGAATAGGGTCAATAGTCCCAGTCACACAGAATTCTCCACAGCGGAGGAAACCAAAAAAGAGACAGTACAAGCGGTTTCCATCATCACGTCGAGGAAAGGGGAAAACACCCCAAATCGTAGTAGCAGTCAGGTATTCTCCAAAATGTTGAAAGTAATAGATAAGCGTGGTTTATGTGTAACACCTTATTGCTTCTTCATTCTATTTAGGATAGTGTTGAGTCTGATGAAGGCTTGACCGTCCCGTGCAGCCAGAAGATTAGCATGACCTGCACGCATAAATGAGTAACGAATACCGCACAAATACAGTTTGATAGTAGATGCTTTAATATTAAGGGTTTTATAGCAGTGTGCGACAAAGAACATCAACAGATCATCAGACACTGGAGTAAGAACTGAATCCCAAAGGTCGTTCACTGTTTAGTTTAATTCTACATTTCTTCACAGAGCCCTGGGGAGGGACATGGGCGACTGTTGGTATGAGGTGCTGCTCTCCAGAACTCCTGGAATTAAAACGAAAAATAGCGTCAGTGATATTATTGTTGGCATCTGCCACATGACTAGCATTCACAGTAAAACTATATTTAGCTGCGCACCAAGTTAGTCGTCGCATAAGGGACATTATATGCGGCGATTTAGACCTGCCTTTTTTTACGATATCGACGGTACCTTTATTGTCACAATGAAATAAGATACGTTTGGTGGACCAGGCTTATTCCCAAAGTAGAGCAGCAACCACTATCGGGTAAAGTTCAAGAAAGGACATAGATTAGTCCCCAGAAGCCTCAACGACTTCCCTAGGCCAAAGGGACGCAAACCATTCCGTACGAAATATACCCCCAAAGCCGACAGCCGATGCTGCATCCGTGAACAGTTCAAAGTCTGGATTGCTGGTAGAATGGCGTACATAGAAGAAAGAAATACCATTCCAATATTGGAGCAGCTCGAGCGACATACGAATGTCTTCTTTACACTCTCGAGTCAATCTTCCATGATGGTGTGACTCCTGTATGGTGGACATCAGTGCAAGGAGATAAGAGATGAAACTACGGCCTGGCAAGATAACTCGCATTGCGCAATTAAGATGACCGAGGAGCTGTTGCAACTCGCGTTTAGTACACGAATTTTTAGCAAGCATGCCACGCAAGAACTCTGTTATTCCATGCACTTTGTCTGTAGGTAAGCGTGCTTCCTTCCTATCAGAATCCAGGATTATACCCAATTATTCCATGACTGTGGCGGGTCTCATAGTTTTATGAGGAGATAAGGGAATCATCAAACGTTTAAACAACATAGTCAGGGGACAATGGTTCTCTCGTCTTGGGCTTGCGAGGGGTCAATGACTAGAAAGTCATCAAGTGAATGAAAACTGTTTGTTTTATCATAATTGTGTTTGACGATCCAACACACCGCAATGGACAGTTGATCGAAAATGATGGGGCTGGAGCGGCAGCCGAAAGCTAAACGATGATAAAAGTAGTATTATAATGTCACCGTGATGGAAAGAGAGTGATATTCTTGAAATCATCCGAAAGGTCAACTTTACACATAATAGCTCCTTTACCTTAATCTTGAATGGTACGAATGGCATAGTCAATTTTGACTTACTTGAGAGAGCATTCAGACTTATTTATTTACTCGTTAATACTCTGATTATCTGTAACAGTAGAATTGTGCGGAGCTGATAAGTCCAAAATAAGTCTTTTGTTCCAAGGGGGCTAACACGATAAATATTGTAAGGCGACACTTGGTAAGGACCGATGATGACACATTTGTCCATTACATTACTGTGGTAGTGGTGAAACTTTAGTGTCAAAATCCTCTTTCAAGCCGTCACATAAATAATTTACAAAAACTTTATCAGGGTGAAAGGTTTGTTCCGTTTTGAGTCTATCAATATTTATAGGGGTTGACGCTCTGAAACTGCTAGGGAAAATTTCCCTGCACAAGACATCTCTTGAGTCTAGTCACTTATTTTTATTTTCAATGCCCTCTGGATTGTAACGTTTGTCCTTAATTTTCTCTCCATGCTGCTCACTGAGACATTTTGAACAGATGTGAGTTCGTTGGCAAGTATAACCATTGCAATTGTTACATATTAACTGCCCGTTGTGCCAAACGTCTTGGTGTTACGTCTGTCTGTTTTATATTGATCTCTATCTGATCTATTTGAGTGTTTGCTTCCATTGAACTGATCACATCTGTGAGTGGAAAATGTTCCACACTACGACAGATATTGCAGGTGATAGGACGGCGACCTTCTACGACCGAATCGTAGATGTTCTTGTCGCGCGTTCCCCATTTAACTTTGAAATTTTCCTGTTCAATGTATTGAGCTGCCCTGGCCAAAATCATGCGGTGGTACTCGATGAAGGACCCATGTGTGTTAGTAAGGCGAATAATAATAGCCTCGTACCTATCAAGATATGGTTAGTTCGGAATATTTACCTCGACGGCCTGGTGTATGCAAGTCACGATTGGTCAAAGAAGGATCGGTACCCGGAACGACGAGAAGGGCAAGTTTGACATACATACCTTGTATAATTTTCTTCCTCAAGGCTGGAGGCACAATGTTGATTTGAGGAAGGAGCTCAGCGGGGATACTGTCAGAATCGGTATGCTGTCTTAAAGTATCCAGCGTAGCCCCTGACGTCCTGTTGTCACCTATACCGCTCCTGATATTTCGTTGATTTTTTTATGCTTTCATTATGTAGAAAGCTGGTTCGGCAGACATGACAGGTTGAGTGGCCTGAAAGGCTTTGAATGTCATCTCCATCAGAGAGAGGGTCCGATTCAGGACATGTGTGTGGGCGCAGCCAAGTTCGTTTGTGGTGAACTAGAATCCCTCCGCGCAGCAGCACATTTAGCGGTGGCGCGGTCACTGGGGGAAGATGTGCGGACCAAATCTTTCCTCGCGTCACCTATAGGCACAGATGGCTCCGCGTCTTTTTCAAGATGTAGTTCACTTTCTTGTGGTAATAAAACCAATGGTCTTCGTTGATTTCTCGTGACTGCAGCGTCAGCATCGTTAACAGAACATTCACATCCAAAGAAGAAGGGGTTGGCATAGTTTGACGAGACTGTCTATCTCTGTGTCCATTGTTTACATTCGTCTGAAGCGACGACGGCCTTGACACAGAAAGTAAACAATTGTCGTTGTATATTTGGATAAGTACCGCCCGTGTACGAATGAATTCGAGACGTACTCCGTTCAGGCGCCGTAGTAAAAACGTCCAAACTGGGTTCCCCTCCCCTGGGGAAAAGTAAATAAAAACACGCAAAACGTAATTACATCCAAGTGGGAAAACGTATTACACAACGTTGTAAGGTATGAATGAGTAATGTTCAATAGTAAAAGTGTAGAAAGTGAGATAAGTGACAGAAAAATCCAATTCGGGTAATGAAAAACTGGATGTGGACAGTTCAGCTCAGCGTCTCCAAGTCAAGCTAAATATAGCACACTAATTAGTATGCACAATGACAGACCCAGATAGAGGTCATAGCTCATGTAGTTGACTGTAAGTGTGGGCAATGGATACATGCACATATGTAAACGACTAAGTAGAATGAATGACTCTAAACTAAAGTGTTGCAGACGCAATTATTTATAAACAAACAAAGCCACTCCTTCATGAATGGTCATCAATCTTTGTATATAAATCCATCAGGAGAAAGCATTATTTTGTAGCAGTGATCTCAGTTTTACATTTGACCTTGTCCTCAAGCACTAAAACACATTGTTATACAGATTTCATGAGCATATTTCAGCCACCATGAATGAATGACATAGCAGTTTTTACAAATAGAAGTACATCATGGGAAAGTGCCAGATAGAAATAATAAGTCACAGTGACTTTTGTTTGACATTTGGTCTTCCACCTCCAGTACTAAAACACAATGTAATAAAGGTTTCCGATTCATATCATTCATAACTTTCATTTCATTGTGGACTTCCGACTTGGTGTTTTGTAATGAAAGAATATTTCGGGTTATAACATTGGTCAAGTCAACCACAATATGGAACCAAGTTTAAAATACAACGAGGGTTCAGGTCTCTGGAAGATATCTTGTCTACCATTTCATGAATGGATATCACACTTGATGACAGAGTCAGGTGGTTTCTGTGTGATGTACTGAAATGATGGCCATGATGTCAACGTCCATTATTTGACCATGACCTTAACTACCCTACACTGATTATACAGGAGTTAAATCTAGATTGGTTAAATTAGAGCTACTTAAATTTATGCTTATCATTCATAACTTCATAGCTTCACTGAGATCACCGTTAAGACTTGTTTAAACAGAGCTTATGAATGTTCATGAAAAAATTATCTTAGAAAATGGTCATCTCTGTGTTTCTTCTTTGCAGTTGATTTGACGTTTATTGCATCGCCTCAAGATGGAGATTTCACACAAAACCTCATTGGCGGCACAGAGCGGTTACTCCAAACACTACCTGACTATGTTGTGGAGATCCGAACACCTGAATGGCTCAAAGAAGATGACTCGACGAATAAGATACGAATTGACGCATATTTGACCCAAGAGAGAAATAAAACTGAATTTGAAGAAATGATGAAATGTAAGTACGAGTCGACAAATAATAAAATGCATTTAGATATAAGATAATAATATGCATGCTGCTGAATGAACATAATTTGGATTACCAGACACAGAAAATAACGCAGTGTTTTAATGGCTGATTTGAAAACTGATACAAAGAATATATAGTGGCTGTGACAAAAAGACAAAGGTTGTAATACAGATAAAACAATGATAAACGTACTTATAAACTCTTTGCATTACTTTTTTCTCTAGTCTGATCAAGAAATTGCTTTGAAATAGTCAGCCGTTTTTGGGGTAAGATACTGCGGGTTGCTTATTGAGTAATGCGCTTCCATTCACTCTTAGCATGTCGGGATTACGTTATATGATATATATTGAAGGTAGATTTAAAAAAAAACTGATTAAAACGACGTCACTTCTAGTGTCTTCATTCTGATGGTATAATGGGTGCCATTTCATGCTCTTATACACACTAAAATGACATGTGTATTTTCTGCACAGCACGTAAAGTTATTTTAGGGAAAAAAATCAAATTCAATCAGCCAGGTCTTGACTTGCATCAAAAACATTGGTTCAAAGGCAGTGTACCGGATTATATAGACATATATGTTAACTATGTTGGTTATATTGACAATTAAGCTAAGTACTATCACCTAAACCCATAGTAAATACATTATAACACTTCGAAAAACATATTTGAATGTTTATTCCTATTAATGGGGAACGATGTTCTCAAAGATTAGATTTTACGTTAGATTTTACTAAAGTTATTTTCCATAACTACCAAATTTATAATAATTTTTAAATACTTTATTTTACCAAGTACACTATCGATCCAATTGATTCTGAAGAACATTTCTTTAACATATCTATCTTTCATTTCAGGTGACCAAGCATCTGTTTGCATTTTGTTTCTTCCTGAGAACAGGTCACTCCCAAATATGTCCTTGGATCGGAAACACATCGCCATCAATTTTAGAAAGTATCCCAACATTGTAAAATGTTCTTTCTATGACGATTCTCAGAAAAACACCTGGAACAATTTATTAAAGAATTGTACGAAAAATAAACAAGGTTCTGAAAGGGAGGATAACAACAATGGTTCTTCAGTTGATGCCAAAACTAAATAACACTTCATCAAACAACTTTTTTGTCCTTCAATGACTCATCAGTGATGCCAGGGACCATAAAGGAGAAAACCCATAATGCTAAATATTACTGTTGAAACTGAAGGGAAAGTGCCTAACCCCCGTTAGTCACGAATTTCAAAATAATGACGTTGCGTATATTTTTGTTTGATTGGAACAGTACATATGCTTCATGCTTCATGCTTCATGCTTATTTCGGTACACTTACTTTATTTGCATCAGAAATAGAAATAAAGTAAGAAAATTGACGAATGCATAAATCGTAACAAATCAAACAGTTGCTTAATTTAAACCTTTTCTCATTTTTTTACTCTGGACAATTATCTGACCCGAGCAAGGCTACTGGAGTTGTCTATGTATATACATAATATACGAAACTACGAAACGAGTGTTGTTTTGTTATCTAACTTCGTACAGATGGGTTTAACAGTGTCCTGTTGTAAGACCTATCGAATTAGTAAGCAATATTTGAAAACCCAATCATCTGAAATAAGGTGCGTTAAAATAGACCTGAAAAGTGAAAGCAAAAGCTAAAAACAGAGCACATTCTATGACATACTATTATCACTATGCAATATAAATACATACAACCCCGTGATTTAAATGACCTGTTATGCAAGTAATAATAAATTATCTATCCGATTTAAGTGATTTTTTGATGTAATTAAAATTCTATTTTTGAAACCCTAATTAAAGGATGGGTGCCAATTTTGGCCTTCTGGTGGCTATATACATAGCTTGGGGTTATGCCATCATGATAAGCCATGAAATTAAGGTCAGCTTCGGGACCATTCCGAGATATGAGAGGGTAAAAGTGATGGACCAAAATCACAATAACTGCATGTTATGTTTTGAAAATTTCTGCATAAGTTTGATGTATTGTGTACCACTAAAGCTGCAAATAATAAAAATGGCAGAGAAAGGTAACACATAGTTGTTAAGTAGAACACTGTGACCTTGTTTTATAATGGCTTAATAATGTTAACAATTCTTCCTTTTCTGTGCCTAAATCAATATTAGAACCCTACAATTATCTTACTAAAGTTGTATTAACCAAATCCCCCCTTCTTTTAACAGTTTTATCACAAAATCCACACAACAACTGAACAGTTATCTTTAATTTTAACATGTATCCGACTTTAAGATATTTTAAAAATTTTATATATTTTTTTATTTTTTATTCTGGTCTAATATCTCTGAAAGTCAGATGTTTATCTGAGTAAAAAAGATAATAGTATGTCGACTTTTGTACTAGGAAACATAGTAATTACATTTTTAAATAAAAAGTACAAAAAAAGACCGATTCCCTGCTCTTCTCGAGCCAATTCATTGAGATTTGGTTAACATACTGATACTTATAAATACATTTTTTCATTTCATGATGTTATAACACCAAACCATGTAGGCCCAAAAAGGCACCCATCCAAAATTTTGTAATACTGTACATTATTGCTTAATGATTCATAATAATGAGATTTTCATTTGTTTGCAATAAAATTCATGATGAACAGGTTTGTTGGTATATTTTCAAATGTGAAAATCTAACTTCATGTATTGTCAGAGCAGACAAAACGACATAACGTAGACTTGTGTACCATTCATCGACACACAGTTATCTGTTTTATCTTGAACACCTGACAGGGACAGTCACAAGCACTGTGGCTGTGATCGCAGGTACATGTAGTTGTGATACAACAGAAATATATCAATAATAGGCCAAAGGTTATTATTCAGGACAACCATTGATGCTAATTATGGCACAAAAACAAACTCCATGATGCTCGACACACGAACAGATAACGTTCTAATCATCATACCATGACCCCTATAATCATGGATAATGGACTTGATATTAGATATACATTTACTCTATCGCAATATGAAGGACATGTTTTACTTGAAATATAATAAAAGCATAATTTCGGTTTTAATTGCATGTATTTATAATCTTCTACAAATACTTCTATGCAGTGATGTTTATATCATTGTATTGTAATGTAATGACAGACTATATGTAAGAAATATTTAGTAATGATTGTATCATGGGTAAATGAATTGCTGAATTCTTAATTTTGAGTGATGCTTATGATTGATCTATTTGATTAAATGATGTTTATTGACAGTTGAAACAGTCTAATTTTCACCTGTATGAAAAACATAGACAATTGATTTATTTGTTGTTTTATTTGTGTTATACGTAAAATTTAACGAAGAATTTTATATATTTGCCCCAAAAATACTTAAATGTTGATGAATCACATGCACAGAAAAGCTACAAATCACCAAGGTAAGTGAACTTACCTGTGTGAACTGTGGGGTTCATGTATAATTAGGTTTCTATTGTCTGCCTATATAAATACTTTTCTTTGTTTTCCAAAATGTGGGGGAAACGAGAACACCCCGTATTGTTCACCTAGATAGATAAAAGATAGCACATAGTCAGGGATCTCCCCTATCTTCACACCGATAATAATTTAACCTAAGCCATGTGTGTCGTGCTGTCTCTTTGTACCTAAGACTGCCTTTAATATACATCACCACTTCTCTCAAGTAAAACAACACTGGACAAAAAAAGCATTGGATATTGACGTTCGTACTACGTTTTGATGAAAGATTTCAAATGTCAAGAATCAAAATAGAGTCGAGTTAAAGCATTTGAGATAATCAAATTAAAAACATTCGCAATGTTAACCAGTGGCGTCCAAGATTCGGTTTTTAGAAATTTAAAACGATTTTTTGTATCTGATAAACATCTATTAAGCACATCAAAAGTTTTTGCCTCCCCTGAGGTTTTATTATATTATGAAATATTTTACATTGTGATACATGAACAATATTTATATGCCAAAATAGTGCTCTTTCCAGGAAATGTGAGTATGATAATGTCACATTCCACTGTGAATAAAACTTTGATACTAAGAATCTTAAATTGGCAGAAAGGTAATGTTTTTATTTGTTTTAACGGGAAATGTCTTACATATTTGATTTGATTCAGCAAACTATTTTCTCTTCTTGTACCCACTTCAATAACTTTTACAATCGTACATTCTGAGCCTCATATTTGCATGATCCATTACTGTCAAATTTCCTATAGGAAAAATTTCAATGAGTACATGAAGTCTTTTGTGTGGCAATACACCGTTAGAACAAGTTTTACTGCAAATGTCCAAAGGTCTTTCCATATTACGGTGCATGTTGAAACGTAAAAATGATTTTTTAAGTTGTAGTACGAATATATTCTTTAAAGCCAAACCGGGCCACGACCTCAGCCCTCACGGACGCAAGCCTTTTTCCAGTAAAGATTCATATCCCCACTTCAGGCTTATGATTACCACAAAGTTTCATCAAAATCTTACTTACGGTTTCCGAGGAGAAGTCGAAAATGTGATTGTTTACGCTCTACTGACGATGACGGACGATAATTGATCGCGACAGGTGACCTGAGTGACTATCTAACAGTGCCGAAATGATTATTCTACATGTTTAAAATGTCTAGGGAGACAGCAGGGATATAAAACCAGAAGGAGAAGAGATGTTATGGCATTCAAGAGCTTTATCATCAGCACTAGTCTGGCCAATATCGATATAAGTAGTAACTATGATAATCCTTTGTGTAACAAATACATTATATGTGCTAAGCATACATTGTAATTTTACAAGGGGTTCCAGTTGGATTTTGGCATTCATCAATTGTAAGATCTTCAATGATTCTATGCAATTAACACGTGTATCTTTTCTTCTTTTATCTGTCAAATTGATAGTCTTGTGAATGTAAATGTACCTTGTTGATATTTAAAAATAAATATGAACGTAACACACACCCAGGTGAATGCACCTTTACAATATTTGTAATATACACTACAGTATGCAAAAAATGTATTACATTGTATCATACAGCTGGTTCGACTTTCTTGGACTCATCGGTGGTGCTAGGGGTCAAAGAGGTGGAAATCGAAATTGGTCTAAACTACTGTTGGAACACGAGGAAAGAGCTTAAAACCCCGTAGTTATATATTTCAAAATAATGAATTTATTTACTTTTTGCTTGATTGACCATTGCATATGTCGCATGCTTATAACGGTAAACTTCATGTATTTGCATCAGAAAACCGATGAATGTATAAAACGTGTGAACTACATATTTGCTTAAATCTAAATATCAGCCATCCACTTAAGATCTCCTTTACTTTATACGTTCACCTGACTCGCGAAACGCTAATGGTATTTAGGATGTGGAACAATAGGTTCAATAAACAATTCAAAATACGAACTAATTTTGTTTTGCTTTTAAATTTCATACAGATTGGTTTGACAGTGACCTTCGAAATAAGGTAGTCGTTTGACTTATTTGCTTTAATAGTGATGTGTAAGAAATCGAAAGAGAAAATTTCAGTATTCTGTTAGTAATATGATTCTTCTGATCAATCGACATGAAGCTCAAAACGAAATATACAAAACTAAAATCATGAAGAACTCACCTAAGTATTTCTTGAGAAATAGTAGTAACAAACTTTAACTGTCAAAATTAAAGATGACTGACTGGCAACCATCCTGTCTTCTGTCTGGCGGCAATGATTAGCGACAAAATGAAACTTGTGCAACTAAGGACCTGGAGGAACCTGCATATGAAATAAGTTGGACATTTTAAGTATTTCTTGATAAATAGTGATGACAAACGATTAAATTCACCTATTTCCAACCATAATGCGAGCCTATCTGCCAATTAAAAACACTGTTTCAGCTTTGCGTTATGCTGACATAAAAAAAACCATTTGATCCTGAAATCAAAAACACAACAATCAATGTACCAAGAGGAAGCTGTAGGCAAAATTTGAGCAAGAGGTGTCCAATTTTTTCTGAAACAGCAATAGCAGCCTTTAACCTTGAATCAAAGATGGCAACCTCGTTATTATTCTACGACACACCAGTCATTTAGTGTTAATACCTTACTCGCCGTATATTCTATTCCTAATAAATACACAAAACCCCCAGTGTTGTAAAGAACCTGTTATCTATAATCTTCTTCCAATACTAGTATTTGTTTATAGCTTAGATCACATTTCAGCGTGGTCAACAATTTAACAGAGGCACTTTGGACAAAATGTTATCAAACACTCTTCTTCCCAAGTGGTAATCTCTTTCCTGTTGTCACTTTTCTGTTTTTTGGTTGTCATGATCACTTCCTGTCAAGTTTGTTTTCTTTTTTTATTGTTCACTTCCGTTTGATGGCACATATGATGGTAACTTCCGATATGGAAAATTAAACCAGATGGCACAATTACTACTTATACTAAGTAATATACACAACCCAGTGTTTTAAAGAACCTGTTATGCAAATGATATATTATCCACCCGATTTAAGTTGATTTGTATGTATTTAAATTTTCTTCTGAAACTCTTTGTAAATTTTTAATACATCATTACCTAATTATTGATACCAATTAGAAGCCACATAACAGTTCAATTCCATTAGTTTGCAATGGAACTCATGATGATACAAACGAAATATTTTGTATATGTTTTACCGCAACAACTCTATTGAAAGGTTTGTTCTTGATATATTTACAAATGTAAAAATCTAACTTCATGTATCACAAGAGCAAACAAAACGTAGACTTGTGTACCATTTATCGACACACAGTTATCTATTTTATCTGGAACAAACCACCTGACAGGGACTGTCACAAGCACTGTGGCTGTGATCACAAGGACAGGTAGCTGTGAAACAGCAGAAATTATCAATAAATAGACTAAAGGTTAATATTCAGGACAGATATTGATGGTATTTATGGCACAAAAACAAACATATCATGATACTCAACACACAAACAGATAACGTTCTAACCATCATACCATGGTCCCTATAATCGTGTCTAATGGACTCTGGATAATAGATATACATGTGCTCTGTCGCAATATTAAGGACACGTTTCACGTGAAATGAAATAAAAGAATAATTTCTTTTTAAATTGCATGAATTTATAATCTATTACAAATATTTGTTCATAGCAAGTGGTTGTCACTTCAATTCAATGGTTGTCACTTTATTGCATTGTCACTTCATTTCATTTGGTTATTGTTTTATTTCATTGGTTGTCACTAAAATTTAATGGATGTCATTTATGTTAATATTGTCACTTTATTGTGTTGGTTGTCCCTTTATTGGTTGTCGCTTCATT